TGGTTAGGGGGAAACAACTGGATGAGATGGGAGATAATGTTGCCCCCTCTGATTCAAGGGGCTTGCCCACCATTTGTGAGTAGATGCACAACCGAGGAGGCTGGATGGACTCCCAATTGGTATTTTAAAAGCAGGTAGCGGGTAATGCCTACTGTTAGATCACCTATTTCTCAATCTGTATTGCCAGGAGGTTGCAATAATTACTTTTGTAATCTGAACTTGCAACTGTCTTTGTCACCTCCAGATCAAGCTATTGCAATGAGCTCTACATGCAGCTACACTTTCAATCTACCTCGAAATCAAAAATGGTGCAGAATTCAACAGCTTGTTTGTTATGAGGTAGGTCCTCCTAGGAATATATGACACCAGTACTTTTGGATCCACACTGGCTACCTATTAAATACAGGGTACGATTTAAGGTTGTGGTCTTGACCTATAAATGGTCTAAAACCTTGTTATCTGAAAGACTGCTTCACTCTCCCTCTGCCATTCTTATGCATTTGAGATCAGCCTGGCCTGGAACCCCTACCATAAGGGAGATCGAATCAACTAGCACAGCACTTTCTGTGAGGGGGCCACCTCTCAGCTTTGAACTCACAAATATTCCTAATACACTGGCCCTGTGAGCATGCTACAAGACACATTTATTCACCCTAGAAGTAAGGGGTTCAGAGGACTCTTGTGGGGAATTAAAAAGAACTGGAAGATATTTTCAGTTGCTAGATTATTATATATGATTACTGTGGGAAGATAAGGGGTCAATGGAGTAATCCATTTTAATAAACATAATTGTGAGATGTGTCAAGGAATGTCCAGAGCATAGGATAAGCACTCATTTTTACAAATGAATACTAAATAAATGATATAATGTTTATTAGTGTCATTAAATTCTAGACAATGATCCATAAAACCTGCAGAAAAGTTATAGAATGATCTTATAAAAATGAAAACAGTGCATGTTTTAAAAAGCTATGAATAAGTCAATATAGGGATTTGGAAAGGGAACAGTTATGCAGCCTTCACAAGAGCAGTTGCAACCCCTTGTGCCACAACACACACGCACACAGAATATAGGTCTATATAGCTTAACACCTCCCCCAAACCCACAAAAAACCTGTATTTAACTAGCAAGAAGGAAGGGACACTAATGAATGAAAACTATGCTAGGCAATGGATAGTTATGGTATAAATTTGTTTTCTGCTTAATTTCTCACAATCTTTACATAGAAGTGACTACAGTATATTATTATGCTCTACATAGGGAAGTTTGAACAGATAAAAGATGTTTGTTAAGGAAACAAACGAGAAGCCACTCCTGAACAGATGCATCATGGAAGAAGGAAATGAAAAGTGTTATAAGCAGCCCTGTAACTTTATGCCAGAGATGTGACAGAATGGACTCTAGCCTCATTTGAATGTTGTTTTTGTAAAGTGCCATTCATACTTCTGTAGCTGTGGCTGTGTCATCCTTGCCATTATAACCTATTAATACATTCAAATTTGCTCCATTCTAAAACTTAATGTGCAAGGTGTCAGCCAGCCTCGGTTTGAATTGTTTTGAAAAATAAAGAGAATCCACTTATTGAGAAAATAATGATAGAATAATCATTAATTCCTTTTTGTATTAAAAAAAAGGGGGAGGGGATTTGAATTTCAGGGTTTTTTTTCCAGGTTATTTGTTCCTAACATTGAATAGTTGCTTTTGTTTTTTAAACAGAAAATATAATTATGCATGTTTTCATGATGCCTATTTTCTATCCATAGGGAAAATTATCCACCGACCCACATTAAAAAACAGTGGCAGCCCCACAGCTGCATAGGCACTAAGAGATGCCTACTCATAGCTCACTGCAAGCTATTGTCCCCAGATGCTAGCAGACACTGTATAGCATATTCCATGCTCAAATGTGAATTTCCTCTCTTTTATTGTTTTGTCCTCACAACCCTAACATTCTTTTAATGCAGTTTCTGGTGGATGAGTAATTCCATCTCTTTAGTTCAAGGTCTAACTGCCTTTAAATAAAACTTCCTTTGTGAATATTTTTTCAATTACATCTGAAACTAAGCCACAAAATGATTTTGTACCAGTTAATCAGGTTCTGAAAGGCATTTTATTATTTTAAATTGACCATGAAGCTAAGTGATCTCCACTCTTTTCTTTTCTACAGGAAAAAGAAAGAAATGAGTGGAATGAGTTTTGATGCTTAGGAATAAATGCCTACACTGTGGTATTTTATTCTTTTTTTTTTTTTTTTTTTTTTTTTTTTAAAGGCTAAGACATT